AGGTGAGACTCGGCTCCCCTTGCAACGGAAGGATATCGAAGATATACACGGAGTTTTAAATCCCTTCTGCCGTGGTTCGTTAAATGGCTAAGTAGGCAGAAGCTGCAGGAGAGACACAGCCACACTAATGACCTGATCGGGGAAGGCTCTTTGCCACCGTGCATCTCCTCCGCACCCAGAGACACAGGTGGAGGGGGTGGGAGAGGTGAGGGGGTAGGGGAAGGGGGACCCCGCCAACCATTTGCCACGGACAAACATCTCCCCCACCCTACCCCACCCACACCACGCCTGGGAAACCCTCTGCCCCACCAGTCAGCACCAGCACAGACCAGTGGGAACCTTCCTGGGCGCCAGATCCACCAGGCTGCCTAAGACAGACCTAAAAGCCCCTGACGGTCAAACGGTCACGGGAAACTCAGCCCACAAAGACAGGCTGAGACCACATGCCAAGCCCAAACACGATGCTTCCCGGCTAAAATAAAAGGTTGGATTCAAAGAGCACCCAGCATTTCCTTCAAAGAATCAAGCAAGGAAGCTTCCAGATAAGAGGCAGAGGAGGGAAATCTAACCGCGGATGCACTTTCAGTCGAGACCAGAGCTCTGGCGTTGGAGTCTGATCTGCGTTATCTGTGGTCTGCAGGCGCACAGGCTTTGCCCTTATGAGAACCGTAATACGAAGAGAAATCGTTTGGATCATGTGATTCTGGAGTTTTAAGGATCTAATTCCTAATTGGTTTGATTTCTAATTATAATTTCTAATGATAAAAAAGTATATTCTTCCTATCTAGACAGCATTTAAATTGATATCTTCATGTCTTCACGCCTAACGTGAATTGCTCACCAAGAAGCAGTTGCAACAAAAATGGACCAAGCCAGTGTAAGAACCAGCCAGTGTCCTTATCTGTTACTCCCACACCCAGCCGGGCAGAGGCTACCCTACTTGCTCACAGACTTCCCTGACGTTGACTATCCACCCCACAGAGGAATGGGCGTTTAGAAACCGTAACCTATGCCTGCAGTCCACAGCCCGTCCTGAATTAATGACACCTCCTGGCGACCAACAGCTAATAACCGCAAAGGCCAGGGGGAAGCCAGGTAAGGCGAAATCTCCCCATGCAGCTCTTCTTCAAATTAAATTCAACAAAATTATCAATATACATGCTTGGAAAGAGCTCAACGGAGATTCGCTAAGTAAGTTATTTAATTTTCTTTTAAGTCTGACACACTGCAAATATGACCTGCGTACATTCCTCTGTCTCTTGGGAAGACTGGGTTATTAAAGGAACCCCTTAGTGTTCAGGGATTCTATTTTGTGTGTGTGGCACAAAAGTTAAGAAAATAAAAAGCTGTTAACAGAAATCAGAATTTTTGAAACCATATTTAGTATGAGCTATCTCACTTTCCAAATTTCTCTTAAAAATCATGATCTGACTAGAACCGTATAGTTCCCTCAGAAAGGAAACCCATGAGATATTAAATCTAAAGTAGTGAATGCCAGTCTGCCAAAAAAGAGTTTTTTTTTAACTTCTCTTTTATTTGAAATATGTGTCATGAGATTCCATGAGTCTATATACTGACTAGTATTTAAACTATCCTCGCATATCCATCGTTCCTCCAATTAGATTATAAATTCCATGCTGATAATGTCTGGCACATAAGTACTCCACGGTATTTGTTGAGGCGTTGTCTGAAACTACCTGCCTGTTCGACGAGACCAGCTGTGGTTCCCGGAATGAGTTCTTTTCTTTTCTGGTAATTTGGTTCACTAAGAAAATATATCAGTGGCTTTTCTTTTTCCTCCACCGCCGCTGATTAAATGCCCAACTGATCTCTGTTACGTTATAGTTCCCAAAGGGCATCTCAGTTTGATTCAGTTGGCTATTTAGGTTTTCATTTATAGTTTTGAGCTATCGAGAGGAGGTTCTAATAACACTTATGTCAACGTAATACATAGTTTGCTATTGCTTTCTTAACAACAAATAGCGTTAAAAAAAATGAGTGTATGATTTTAGATCTTTAATAGTAACCTAAGGGATTTTATAAGGGATCGCTTTGGTACATTTATATTTTAAATTTTGCATTTATTTAAAAATTTTACTCATTTATTTTAGTGACATCTTCCTTTAAATTAGATGTTATGATAATAATAATATGTGTGGGTTGCATTTCTTAGCTCTCTGGAGCTTTTGCATGCATTATTCCATTTTTTTCTTTACCACAGGCAGGGAAGGTTTATCATACATATTTTATAGCCAGGAAAACAGAGGGACCGAGAGGTGAAATGACTCCCCTCAGGGTCGCAGTGACAGTAAATTGCAGAGCTGGAGCCAGAAACTCCGTCTTTGACTTCCAGGCCCATTTCTGTAAATGGTGTCCTTGTATCACTGCTCACAAGCACTGTCCCAGGCCAGAGCCAGGGAGCACGTGCGACAGTCACCTCGGAAGCTTGCCCACAATGCAGATGGCTGGGCCCCACCCAGTAGGACTCTGCATTTTTAAAAATAAAGAAATCAATTTATAAAGATGTAACAAAAATTTGGAGAGGGTGTGGGAAAATAGGGACCTCCATGTCCCACTGTGGTTTATGTTAACTTGTGGGAGGATAATGGGAAAAGCATAACAAGGTAAATGAAGGTGACCATTTATTCCGAAATTCCTCTGCTGGAAAATTCCCTGAAGGCGTCGTATAAAACAAGAGTGCCAATCACACGTGCAGTTACTCACTGCACAGCCGCCTGTAAAAGCAAGAGAATGGGGGCGGGGGAGCAAAGGGCTCTCGACGATAATCACTTAAAAAGCACACGTGGATGCGGAGAGATAGGAACACTCCTACCCTGCTGGTGGGACTGCAAACTAGTGCAACCTCTGCGGAAAGCAATATAGAGATACCTCAAAGAGCTACAAGTAGAAGTACCATTCGATCGAGCAATCCCATTATTGGGCATCTACCCAAAAGAACAAATGATACTCTATAAGAAAGACACCTGCACCTGAATGTTTATAGCAGCACAATCCATAATTGCAAAGATGTGGAAACAACCCAAGTGCCCATCAATTCATGAGTGGATTAATAAAATGTGGTGTATGTATACCATGGAGTTCTACTCAGCCACGAAAAACAATGGTGATCTAGCACCTCTTGCATTATCCTGCATAGAGCTGGAGCCCATTCTACTAAGTGAAGTATTCCAAGAATGGAAAAAGAAGCACCACATATGCTTGCCATCAAATTGGTATTAACTGACCAACACTTATGTGCACACATAGTAGTAACATTCATCGGGTGTCGGGCAGGTGCAGGGGGAGGAGGGGATGGTATATTCACACCTAATGGGTGCGGTGCACACCATCTGAGGGATGGGCACGCTTGAAGCTCTGACTCGGGTGGGGCAAAGGCAACATATGTAACCTCAACATTTGTACCCCCGTAATATACTGAAATTTAAAAAAAAGAAAAAAGAAAAAATTCAATTAAATTTAAATATTAAAAAAATAAAAATAAAAAATAAAAAGCACAGCAGCTTCACAGGCGATGAAGGAGAGTACACTGTCACCAAGTGGGGGCACCTACTCCAACATACACTAGATGTGTGAATTGGGGTAATCCTTTAATCTGGCACAGACTCAGTGTCATCATCGATAAGATAAGGATATTAGTAGCTGAAACATATAGGATTATGGTGAAGACCACATATAGATCATATGTATTAGGCATTTAGCACAATGCATGGTACATAAGAGAAGATACCCAATAAAAGTTAGCTATGATATTACTAGTGCTATTCCCATCATTATTATCCTCAGTCATGAGCCAGAAATAAGATTTTGATTATTATTAGTAGTAGTTCGAATGGGCCAGTAGAAAGATAAAATAATAGAGACAGGTACTCGCATGCAAAAATGTTCGAGAAACAATGAATGAAAAATGTACATTCCCAATGTAGACCTAGCATAGGACAAATGATTTTTAAATGCATATATAGCATAGCCAGGTATAGCACTTTTCCAAAACATGAATTTTGTCGTAAGTAATCAGAAAATAAGGGGATGACGTGAATATAACAGACACTATCGTTTCTTTGAGCACAGTAATATGTTGATGTTATCAGGGGCAAGCTTTCTCAATAATAAAGAGAATCTGCAGTAGAGAATTCACAGACTCGGCAAACAAAGTGAACACCCTGACGAACACCTTCCATTCATGCAAGACGTTTCTGGTTGAGTGGTTTTAAGAGATACTCCGTGAAGCCACCTGTGGAAGGTGCGAAGGTAGACAAAGCATCTGAGAACACACTTCCTTTCTGCAAAACACACTGATTGACACTCCCAAATCACATTTCTAATTGTGATACACCAGGTCCGACAAACACTGAGAAAAGCTGTCTTGGAGGCCCTGCATCTGGGAGTAGCTGGAGCAGGTGTCGGGGACACAGAGCCGCAGAGCAGACTGCGATCCTACTTGCAAACCGAGCAGAGCAATCAGTCCGCAAGTATTTACATCAGGGCTGGTAGCGATTTCACCAGAACTCCGGACACAGACTTCTGCAGATAGACAGGGAGTCACCCCCAGCAATATTTTCCCCATGATCTCTGTCATTTTTACTGTGCAGTTTTACACAATGCAAGGGAAGACATATAGCATTATTACAGAAAACACTTGTACTTCTCAAACCAGAAAGCACCTGGACTTCCAAAAACCCACTAATAGAATACCACAAGGAAGCAGAAAGACAGAGGCTGAAAGGGGTTGACTTGAGAAATTTATCATTTCCACTTTCTACCTTCTGACTGTTCTAATTTTTCCGCCATAAACATATTTTTTGAATGATTTAAAAAAAACTGATACAGCTAAAACATAATCCTAAATTAGTTCTCATTCAACATCAGACTGGAAGCCACGAGATTAGCCACGCCTGGCAGGAACTAAACATCCAAGGCAGAATCCCATCGACCCTCAGCACGCATGTGTCGGAGGAGAAGCAGCTCAAGGGAATACTCACACGTACAAGACCGATCTGGTGTCCCCCACTTTCCCAGCGTCACCGACCGTCAGGGTGTCATAACCTCTTTCCAGCTCAAACTCTTCAAAGGCAAGCTTGATGACCTAAATCCAAGGCACAAGATAGTGACTTAGCATGACAGGGACTTTCCGTGACTGTTAACGTTACAAATATCCAGTTGTTGTGTTAAATTTTGCTCTTTAAAGCCAACGTATTCCACACGATCACCAAGCTGCTTTAGTTACACAGATAATTGTATGCATTTGAGACCCGTGAATTACAGAATTTTATGAAATTCAAACTTGCTATTACCGACACAGGTATTTTCAGTGCTAAAAATGAAATGTAATCACTTCTACACTTTAAGTCACATATCTATAAAATATTTAACATTTAGAATGTTTGAATTAACCAAAAGATGAGTCAATATAAGCAAAATAAATGTTGATTGCAGTTAAAGAGATACATTTTGAGGGCACTCAGAATATCCTGCAATAAGTATTTTTAAATTTATTATGCAGAGTTCATGTAATTATCCATATTAACACATAAGAAAAGACTTTCTGAGGCTAGAATGTTGTCTTCTGTACTTAGCTTTCCAAAACCTCGTAGTATTTTTTTTTAGTAAAGAAATATTGTCACGATGACCAGCACCATGACATCTGGACAGGACTGGCTTATGTTGGATGCTCCAGCGTGTTACAACCTATGAACTTCTTTCTGCAGCGCACAGGATCCTTTTCTCCTGAAGGAAGAGGCGCTTCCCTTGGTGACCAAAACTGGGATCAAGGGGAAAAGGGAGATGAAGATATCTTGAAGGTAGGCTAGAACCTGGGGGACCAGGGGAACAGGGAAAGGGGATAGATAGAAAGATGACAGATAGATAGATAGGTAGATAGGTAGGTAGACAGATAGGTAGATAGATAGGTGGATAGGTAGGTAGGTAGATAGGTAGGTAGATAGGTAGATAGATAGGTAAGTAGATAGGTAGATAGAAGAGAGATAGATGAGAGACAGATCATAGATTAGATAGACAGATACAGACAGATGAGATAGATGGTAGCTTAGATAAATAGATGATTGATAGATGATGGATTAGATAGGTAGATGACAGATAGACGATAAATAGATGACAGATTAATAGATGAGATGTAGATGATAGATAAATAGATGATCGATTAGATAGGTGGATGATAGGTGAACAGGTGACAAATAGTTGAGATGAAAGATTAGATAGATAAAAGGTAGATAACAGACAGACAGATGACAGATGGGATGGATGGATGGATAAATGATCAGTAATACATACACAAACGGATGGCTATATTCGGGGGGAGAGAGAGATTGAGAGAGAGACAGAGAGGGAGGAGGATGGGAGGACAGAGGGAGCTAGGACAGGGAAAACACTGACCATAATACTGGAAGTACATTTTAATGGGATCTATTTCAGAATGAAGCCGAAAGTCTGAAATCTTGTAGAAAGGTATCAAATGCCTGTTTGTTAAACTTGAAAGAAAAGAGGAAGCGGCACCAGGCAAAGGCAGGCCTCCCCCAACCCCCAATGTGCACAAGTCGATCAGGCTCTAAACAGGTGCTTTTCCAAGCAATGCTAACAAGGAACGCATTAATTGTGCTATTTGAAATTCTTACTAAAATTAGTGATATAGCTATTATAATTTATTTTAAAAAACTACTATTTCAAATGGCAGTGTTTGCATGAATGCATTATTTTAGCAATCTGATTTGAAACAGGTGTAGGGGTTGATAACTGCTGCAAACCAGTATAAACATTGCATATTAAACCCGGCACCTGACGGCAGTTTTATTTCTATTTTTCTCTCTCTCATGGCTCTATCTATAAGTGAACATGGTCTAACAATCAGAGAATAAAAGAACTAAAGAACCGTCTTCGAGACCTGGTGGCTTCCCACCACCTTTCGGACAGGCTGACTCAGTCCAGACTTGTCAGAAGCCCTGGCAGGAGATGCTAATCCACCAGGGCAGAGAGCCATGGCTGCATGATTTGTGATGAGTCACGTGATAGGGAACGCACTACGTGAATGGGCTTTCATTGGGGGTGTACAGACGGCCACGCTGTAGTTCTTCCAAGAGAAAGTCTTTGTCAGTGTTTTGTCTCAACAATCACAGGGGCCGTTGTCAAATGAACATTTTTCTCCCTGCCATTGACCCTCTGTAAAAGGAAAAACGTAGCTTCCTCCTTCTCTAAAGATCTTCTCGTTTATCAGAAAATATGGCAACCTAAAAATATATGTGGCTGAAATACAGAAATAGGTATATTTTTAACTAAAGCTGCAATTCCTTCTCACCGAAAGATAGCCCGAGATGAACACGAAAAGGGAGGGAGAGGGTGGAAGGTTTTAAATCGTGACTGATCCGGTGGCATTGAGTCAAGATGGTGTCTTTCCTTCCCCTGCACATGTGCTCGCCCTGCACCCTGAAGGGCTCCCTGCAGCTGGACTGCTCACGTCCTCCAGTCTCTGCTCAGTGTCCCTCCCTCAACCGTGTGTTTGCTGACCGCCTGTCCCCTTTGTAACATCCCACGCGTTGACAGCTCTTCTTGGTTTGCTGCGCTGCCTGCCTCACCCCGCGCACCGTAAGCGCTGCCAGGGCAGGTGCCGCATGGTCGCTCAGGGAGGGCAGCCTGGGCCTGGCCCGTGAGGATGCACAGAACGTCCGCTCCTGCAGGCCACCGAGCTGGGAGTGAGTGCAGAGAAACGGACGATGCTCCAGCCTTCAGAAAACTTAAAACCTGCGGAGCATTTCGATAAATACTAATGAGCATTTCCGGATGAAGATTCCTTCATGCCAGTAGACAAAACAGGAAGGGAAACCAGAAGGAGACTGACAGAGTCCCAGGCTTCAGAAACCTTATTTTGACACATATAAAATAATTACAGAATTTAACATTACCGATAAAGATGTCTTAATGACGATATATAAAATCTTTCACTTTTTCAACCTCAAAACAGCATCTCAGAACTGTGAGAAAGACAGGCCACTCAGTCTAGACTTTGGTGTCATTTTTCAAACATATTCTTGGTGTTTGTGTTATTTTCTATATTTTACCAATTGTCAGAATCTCAGTATTGTAACAAAGTTGGTCTGTGAAAGCCCTTTTTACCAGCGTTTTTTTTTTAAGATTATCAACCACATCAAAAGCCCTAGAGATCCCATGAGAAAGAACACAACCTTATAAATATTTAAACATTTGTAAATCACATATTTCTAAAAATACATAGAAGACTTGCATCCCAACCTTTTTAAGGGGGAAAGTCAAATGACGTGGACACTCAACACGTTTATCTTCTGGGAATACTTAAAAACACATTTGAGGGTTAATTTTATATATATTCTCCTACAGCTCTCTTTATCTGTGTTTCTGTCAGCCCATTCTTTATTCATTCATATATTCAAGGCCAGATAATGTTCATGTCCTCTATCATGGACAGGACATTGTTCAAACACTTTCGTTTTCATAAGTAACTTTTAAACGCACGGTTACCAAACTCAAACTACAGTTTTGCTTATCAACAAAGCATCTTCCTAAAAGAGCAAGTACACAATGAATTGGCCCTACAAAAGAATCATGGGTACAAAAAGCCATTGCAAAATTAAGTGCCATCATTTGGATTCTGCAACAGGTGATTCTGTAATTTAAATGTATTAGAAATGATCGTGGGAGGACTTGAAAGATGTCCCACTTCTCTTCCCTGGTTTACAGCGTTCCTCTTCCCAACCCCAAAGCGGAAGCAGAGAGCAGCGCCTCACAGAAGACTGCAGTCACTAAACATGACACCCGTGTTTGTATCTCTATGTCTGTGTCTACATCTATGTATATGTCTCTGACTAAGGCTATATCTGTATTTATGTCTATGCCTACAACTTATAATTTCCCAGGAGTAAAGAACTAAGTTATGTGTTTTCATGTGAGAGATGTCTGGGTAAATTAAAACAGAAATGGCGGGTTACGGTGAATTTTAAATAAATTAATATTATCTCTATTTTTTTTTTTTTTACTTTTCTAATAGGACTTGGAAGGAAAGATTTGCCAAACTGCTACACACCAAGCATAATGTGACTATGTATAGCTTTATACAAGGCATAATAAATTGGAGATACTAACATATGGAGGTTTTGTGTGTTTTTTAAAGAATGAACAGAGTCCTTGTTTGTTACAAAAAGTAAGTCATGTACTGTATTTAATAAAGAATGCCACATTGCTATCAGAGTCTGGATAATTTATTTTATATAATCCATTCAAAATGAACTCTACTTTTTTTCTAAAATCTCCAAACCTATAGAACCTATGTATGATTTTTTCCTCTACACATCTTGATTGCTTTATTTCTCCCAGGAGGGCCCACATAATGTTTCTCTACCTAATTTTTCTTTATCTTTCTTATTAAGGGAGTGGGGAGGAACTTAAATAGAGAAAAATGGGATGAATTTGTTTACTTCCTCTGTCAATACTAACAGAAGCATCTACGACCCTGGTTATATGTAAACAGGCTACACTAATGCCATCCTTATGGAATCTATAAATAAGCAGTCGATTTGTTAGAGCCCGTCTAAGCCATTCCCAAATGCAATAGTTCACATCTCTGTCGTATCATCTTGCCGCCAGGATTAGTTTGCATTTACTGCACAGCCCTAACTGAGCAGGAACCAGCTAAATAGCAGCAAGAGTTACGGCTAAAATGATCCGGTGATGCTCTGATAAAATGTTTAAGACACGCTTGCTATATTCAGTTGTGCTTCGTGATAGTCTACATCTTTGTGTCCTCCCAAAACTCACATGTTGAAATAGATCAGCACCCCATGGTGACGGTGTGAGGACATAGGGCCTTCGAAAGGTGGTTAGGTTGTGTGTGGAATTCTCACGAATGGGATTGGTGCCCCTATAAAGAGGCCCCAGGGAGACCTTTGGTGATCTACCACCAGAAGACACAGAGAGAAGGTGTCATCCATGAACCAGGAAACGGGCCCTCAAGAGACACAGAATCTGCCCGCACCTTGATCTTGGACTTCCAGCCGCCAGAACTGTGAGAAATAAATTGCTATTATTTAGAAAATATTAATTCTC